GCGCTGTATCTCGTAAACTAGCAATCCTATAGAAAATTTTATGTTACATTATTTGTAGCAAACTGAATTGTCTACAAATTTATTTCGATTATTTTTTTGTAAAATGAAAAAAAAATGGTAAACAAAAATAACTGAATATTTTTGACCAAATTTTCTTTTGGGCGTTATAACTTCTTTCTGACCATTTTGCAATAAAATATAATCAAAACAGTCTAATACAGGGTTTTTCAACGAATAATTTACTGATGAAGTGCCCGTCATCGTACTTTAAAAGTGCGCAAATGAACTCGCATCAGTAGTTTGCAGAATTTTCAACCTGTCTTGCAGAAAAGGGGCCTTTTCTTTTTGTTGGAAAATTGCTCCCGTTCAGCTGATTCCCACAAAAAGCAAAAAACACTCTTTCAAATAACTATAGACCAGTCGCTTTGCTATCAGAGATATCAAAAATCATGGAGAAAGCCGTAAACCACCATATCTTCAAATATTTGGAAGGCTTCAACATCTTGATCCATCATCAATATGGCTTCGGAAACAAAGATCAACAGGCGACCTTCTATCGTATGTCACCCATATTTGGAATAACGCAATCGGGAAACATGGAGAGTCAAGAGCTGTTGCGTTTGATATTTCTAAGGCCTACGACCGTGTGTGGCATGATACTTTGCTGGCGAAACTTCGATGCTATGGCTTGTCGTATCATTTTTGTGTGTGTCTTCAGCTTCCTGAAAGAACGCTCTCTGCAAGTGACCGTAAATGAATATCTCTCGAATACTTTCACCATCAACGCTGGTGTTCCCCAGGGATTCATATTATCTCCAACCCTCTTCTCATTGTATATCAACAACTTATTGGAAAAACCAAGAATCCAATATATTGCTTTGCTGACGACAGCACACTTGTCTAGTCATTACATTTGGATTCTAGGACATCGGCTGCGAAAGCACATCTTCACCGGTAGCAGGAGGTTGAATGTCTCAATGAGGATCTAGAAGTAGTTTCGAATTGAAATGAAAGTAACCGGGTTCAATTCGATGCCACAAAAACCCAGACATCGGTTTTCAACAAAAAAGATAAATGTCTCCGAACCGGATATAATAATGTCAGGTCAGACAATTCCGCTTTGTCCTTCGATAAGTTTGTTGGGGGTTAAAATGGACACCAAAATGTCATTGCACAATCATGTCGCTGGAACTGCAAAAGTCACTTCTCAAAAGCTTGGAACACTGTTCTGAAGTAGAAAACTGTACATACCTCAGCAACTTTTGATGATGATGATGAATAATGAATAATTTCGACCTTAAACTGAATCAGCAAAATGTCCACTTTCAGATAAAATATACGACTGTAATCGATTTGTTATTGATTGTCCGGCATGTTCAAAAATACCTGGCGTATTCCTTATGATATTGCAATTGTCAGTTATCCGTTTCCTCAAGTCATCCACATCTGGTACAGGAATTTTATAAACAAGAGACTTCAGATGATCCCATTGATAGAAATCTATCTGAAGGATTCATATCATGACTGCGAGCTAGCCAATTTTGAGGTCCTGCACGTCAAATCCAGCGATTAGGGTAGATGATGTCGAGTTGCTGACGAGCAAGAACACTGGAATGAGCTGAAGCCCCGTTGGGTATAAACCATATTGTTGTCTCTTACAAGTACCGGCACTTCTTCTAACAAAATGGGTAAATGGGCCAATTAGGTAGTCACCAATCATTCCTACCCAAACCTTCAGAGAAAATTGTTGCTGAAAATGACTTTCTCTAATAACGTGCGGATTTTTATCGGCTCAAAAATGGTCATTGTGAAAGTTGATAATAGCATCTCGTGAAAAATTTGCTTCGTCTGTAAATAAAATATATGGTAGAAAATTATAATTGTGTGCCATCGTATCAATTAACCACCTGCAGAACATTAACCTGTACTTAATACTTTCAATCTAGTTAGGATTAAATAAGAGCCTTATTTTAAATAACTATAGCAAATTTCAACCAAATCGGTGTAAGGATATTTATGATATTTCATAAATACCTTTTTTCAACTTTATATTTTTATTACATTCTGGAACGCTTTAAAATAAACTGACAATGTTGAAGCTTTTTAATATATCAATTTCTGTCCAAATATGCATGACGTATCTTATCAAAAAATGTTTTTTTCATGAAACTCTTTTCTTCTGATATGGATTCGGCTAAACTTCGATTTGACGATCCAATTAGATGCTTCTTTGTGATAGGTGAAATTATTGGATTCTTGCGACGGTGAAAATAGGAACACACCTCAATTATTCCATGATTTCTATATCAATACTGGAAGTTGGTTGTTCATTGGAAAGANTACTGGCAAACCATAATTGAATGATGCTGTCTTGTTTCTACAATTCAAATTTTACCTTTTATTCTTCTTGTTTTTTATACAAATCTCTTAATTTTCATTATTGTTTTTATATACTTATATACAACCTATGTGATAGAATATTGTGTTTAGTGTACTAAATTAATTATTGTAAAAGATGTAAATATGTGTTGTGTTACCACGTACAAGTTGCTGAAGCTCTCAACAACTTCTGTTGGTTCATTGTAATGTGTATTGTTTTTAACGTGTATTACTTTAGTATGTTCATTTACTATCAATAAACAACATTCATTCATTCATGTGATGTTGATGTTCAGTGGTTTGAAGACGTTTGTTAGTTTTTTGGTTTGGTGTCCTACGTACGTAAATACTGTCCATCGCTGTGTCGTTTTGTCTGTTGGGGTGGCTTGATCCTTGTTCTGTATTTTTTGTTTGATTATGTTTTCTAGTTTATCTATTGTCTTTTGGGTGTATTCGTTTTCGTTCGCTATTTGGTATATGATTTTCCGTTCTTTGTTTCGGGCTTTATTGCTGAGAGGTGTCCTTAACATTATATATATGCATGCGTTATAGGCAGCCATTCTGTGTGACGGTGGATGGTTTGAACTTGCGGGTATGGTGGAGCTTGTTTGTGTAGGTTTCCTGTATATTGCCATAGGATATAACCACAACAAAACACAATTCTCACAAGACTCAACATAAGAGTCTAGTCAATCAAAATTTACATCTCAAGAAATAATAAAAATAATTCAAATATTTGGAAGGCTTCAACATCTTGATCCATCATCAATATGGCTTCGGAAACAAAGATCAACAGGCGACCTTCTATCGTATGTCACCCATATTTGGAATAACGCAATCGAGAAACATGGAGAGTCAAGAGCTGTTGCGTTTGATATTTCTAAGGCCTTCGACCGTGTGTGGCATGATAGTTTGCTGGCCAAACTTCGATGCTATGGCTTGTCGTATCATTTTTGTGTATGTCTTCAGCTTCCTGAAAGAACGCTCTCTGCAAGTGGCCGTAAATGAATATCTCCCGAATACTTTCACCATCAACGCTGGTGTTCCCCTGGGATTCATATTATCTCCAACCCTCTTCTCATTGTATATCAACAACTTATTGGAAAAACCAAGAATCCAATATATTGCTTTGCTGACGACAGCACACTTGTCTAGTCATTACATTTGGATTCTAGGACATCGGCTGCGAAAGCACATCTTCACCGGTAGCAGGAGGTTGAATGTCTCAATGAGGATCTAGAAGTAGTTTCGAATTGAAATGAAAGTAACCGGGTTCAATTCGATGCCACAAAAACCCAGACATCGGTTTTCAACAAAAAAGATAAATGTCTCCGAACCGGATATAATAATGTCAGGTCAGACAATTCCGCTTTGTCCTTCGATAAGTTTGTTGGGGGTTAAAATGGACACCAAAATGTCATTGCACAATCATGTCGCTGGAACTGCAAAAGTCACTTCTCAAAAGCTTGGAACACTGTTCTGAAGTAGAAAACTGTACATACCTCAGCAACTTTTGATGATGATGATGAATAATGAATAATTTCGACCTTAAACTGAATCAGCAAAATGTCCACTTTCAGATAAAATATACGACTGTAATCGATTTGTTATTGATTGTCCGGCTTGTTCAAAAATACCTGGCGTATTCCTTATGATATTGCAATTGTCAGTTATCCGTTTCCTCAAGTCATCCACATCTGGTACAGGAATTTTATAAACAAGAGACTTCAGATGACCCCATTCATAGAAAGTTATCTAAAGGATTCATATCAGGACTGCGAGCTAGCCAATTTTGAGGTCCTGCACGTCAAATCCAGCGATTAGGGTAGATGGTGTCGAGTTGCTGATGAGCAAGAACACTGGAATGAGCTCGAGCCCCGTTGGGTATGAACTATATTGTTGTCTCTTACAAGTACCGGCACTTCTTCTAACAAAATGGGTAAATGGGCCAATAAGGTAGTCACCAATCATTCCTACCCAAACCTTCAGAGAAAATTGTTGCTGAAAATTACTTTCTCTAATAACGTGCGGATTTTTGTCAGCCCAAAAATGGTCATTGTGAAAGTTGATAATAGCATCTCGTGAAAAATTTGCTTCGTCTGTAAATAAAATATATGGTAGAAAATTATAATTGTGTGCCATCGTATCAATTAACCACCTGCAGAACATTAACCTGTACTTAATACTTTCAATCTAGTTAGGATTAAATAAGAGCCTTTTGTAGAAGAAGGATTGGTNTTAGTTTTCGAGAAAAAAACTTTCTACTTTCTATCATTCTACAGGACATGAAAAATGTTTTTCCCGAAAGTTTCAAGTTTACCACTTGCCGTATATTGATGGAGCAGTAGATAAAATGTATGCAACGGTAATTAACTATTAACCTCTGTATTACCTATTTCTTGAACATTTTAAGAGTCAGACCACTAGAGGCTGGAGACGTATTCGAAAACAAAAATCATATTACTTCTGATTTGATTTCAAATACCATGTCTCAGAATAGTTTCAGATTTTGGATCAATATTTTCGAAAACAAATTTGTTCCATGATTTTCATGCATTCAAAATTATTTTTAGGTGTCGAACATTTCATTATTTTATTTATCTACTCCGATTTTATTTCAGATGGTCAATCAGGCCATGTTTGCCAATTTTGGACTGATCTACGGTGAGACGCTGACGAAAATGGCAAATGGCCATGCAACTGGAATAACTTTAGTAATGGCGATTAGTGTAGTTGTGACGAATACTGCTGGGTTTACGGTAGGGCCACTTCTTAAAAAAATTAGTTTGAGGACTCTCACCTTCATTGGTATAAGCTGTGTTGGAAGTGGATTGATTATTACCAGCTTTGCAACTGAGATTTGGCATATTGTCATAGGCTATAGCATTTTCACAGGTGAGTTGATCATCAAAATTTACATCCTGAGAATCATACTTTATCGATTTCCCAGTCAGATAGTATATAAGAAAACAATCCGCTATATAAATTACCAAACGTGATTCGATGTCAATTGATCTTTCCTCTCGTTTCACAATATACTTGATATGAGTGTCACTATTTTTAGGGTTTGAAGGCCGTTGATTTTCGGAATTTCTTCCTGACGTTTTGATGGTGCGAGTGGCTAGCTTCTTCAGATGTTTATACATCCTGTAATATCTCCGATGACTTGATGTGCTTTGTAATATTCTTTTATATAAATAGGGCTTTCAATACAGCATGCATACACTTTATATTGAAGAAACTGGAAGGATAAAGTATTGCACGTAACTGCTGAGCTTTCGTACAAAACTTTATCAGCAATAAATCATTTTATGGCACACTTCAGTGATGGATTATCCGTCCTACCCTTCTCTTAATCACTGCAGATGCTCATGCTGATGATTTCTTGGGGTATGGAACAGCTATTACAAAAATTCTGGAAAACATTGTAGGATTGGTCAGAAATTATAGATTTTAAATTTTCAGCATCTAGAACTAGTGACATAATTTTCAGCAATACTTCACTACAGAATTGCAGTTGTAGCAACAACATTTGCAACTCGGTGAAATTCCTAGGCATGATATTCGGTAATACAATCACTTGAAAAGATCAAGTCACACATTCAGTGTCTTGTCATAAGAAACTCATCGAAATTACTTTCCGAAGAAAACTGGGGTTCTGATCAATCTACATTCATGGTCTTTCACAAGACACTTATCAGATAGAAAATGGATCAAGGTTCAATTGTGTATGCCTCAGCAAGTAAAACAATCCCTAAGCCGCTAGATTAGGTTAGGTTAGGTCCAAAGTGAGTGGGTCTATTCGACATTCCACCGCAACCCGTAAGGGTTTATTGTGGCTCACACCTAGTCACACTCGACCAAATGAACTCAGCTTCTCAACGAAACCGATTAGTTTGTATGGTGAGTGGTCTTTCAGGTCAGATGGTAAGAGTACGGCTCTGTCGAACTCTAAAAACCTGATTCGGTTCCCTGTAAGAAGGCCTGTAAGACATCATAGTGAATAAACGCCTTGGAGTGAGCCAATCCTGGAAGATTCTGCCAGAAATACATAAATATTCTTGCCATCCAGGTTTTCAATCTTTGTTAGGCAAAGCATAAAGCGATGACAATGACAGGTTCTGATCCAATGAAGCTGCAGTACCCTCCTTCGCAAGGAAGTCAGCAGCCTCATTGCCTTCCAGGTCAGGATCGCCAGGAATCCAGACCAAAGACTACTGTTAAGTCTTCCTATCGAGGAGAGTCGTTTTTGGCAATTTGCTACCAATTTAGACGTTGCTCGGTAAGAGCCAAGAGCTTCCAATGGCACTTGACTGTCCGAGAATATTTTTATTGACTTTACGAGGTTGGATTTTCCAATATCCCGCACACAATTCAGTAGCGTAAATTTCCGCTTGAAATACACTCGCATAGGCTCCTAGGGAGGTTGTTATCTCTGTCCTGGGTCTGCGACTGAAAACATCTGCACCAGAACCGGAAGATATTTTTGATCTATCTGTGAACCAACAACTATCTGCTCTCAATATTTCCTTCTCCCACAGCCGCTAGATTTCGTTCATAACAATGCAATAAGAATTGTGCATGGTAGCTTATAGAACAACTCCAGTTCGAAGTCTCCCTGGAAAATCTGAAGAACCTTCGCTTTACTTCAAACGACAGAAATTGAGCTTATCATATGTATCCTTGTAACCTTCGTTGTCGTAGATTGAAACGGGTTACTTTGTTACTTAGGAACTAAATTATGGGTCCCTATCAACGTTATTCAAGGTCGAATTATTCTGATTGTCTTTAGGCACAAAAAACTGAACTGAATTGTTTTGAATGTTATACAGGGTGGATGCTATGCATAAATATATGATTTCAATATATTACTTTTCTGTTATCTTATAAATCCACTCTTGCATTTTGGGAACCGTAACATCCTTGTTAGCCGCAAATATAGAACGACTCTTCACGATAACACCTTCACAACCAGATACAGGACAAACTTTTGAAATAATCTTCTTTCCCTCAATATAACATATCAAGTATGATAGTATGATAATAAACGGTATGTTAAAACCAACGGCAATGATGGTGTTATTGAATCATTTTTAGCGGAAATTTCACAAACTGAATATCTACAAAGGTTATACTGTGGTTAAAAATAATTACGTATGCTATCCATCATCCATATGCATTTATGTAGTGAAATTGTATGCAATATATGAAATACTCAGATTTATAAATTCCAACATATTGAAAAATTTCTAAACCTGTCGGACTCCTTAAGTTCCATCTCAACTTTTTTGAAAATGTTTCCGGAACACCTGGTAGAACTGTTGATGACAAATCAGTTGAACGTAGGTACTGGGGAAAACTTAGCAACTGTGAACTTCATATGGTTGATGTGGTTTGACTGAATTAAAAAAAATACATGTGCGGAATGTTTATGGCATCTCAATTTACAACATTTCAAAATGAATGACGTACGATTCAAAAGTACAGAAGATTGTAGTAGGTTTTTGCAGAGAATGTTTTATAACTGATGACTGCTTATTTTCAGAACAGGAAGCAGAAAACCGCTTTCTGAAATCTGGAGTGCTACAAGATTTCACTTTAGGAACTCTTTTAATACCCATCGATACTTCTCATCTGGTAAATTATCTGGTCTGGTAGAAAAGTTGTTCAGCATTGAAAAATACATCTAGATTTGAAGTCATGGCCATCTAAGTGAAGTTTTATTTTTTAACCTTTTTTTTAAATGGGGACTACGAAAAACAAATTGTTACTAAAACGATAAATATGCAGCATCCTGTATACGATGGTTTATTTTAAAAGACTGTAACATTACAAATTACACATCTATGGTGTTAGCCACGGTCAATTTTCATGGCCATTTAGATGACCATGACTTCAAATCTATATGTATTTTTCAATGCTGAACACTTTTCTAAATAACATTTTCCGATATTTTTCAAAATAAGAGTACTTTACTCTTGTCACAAAATCAAATATTTGAAGGCTCCTCGTATATTACGTGTGTTGTACTGTATTTTGTTGGTGCATGTTTAGTTTTAGGAAATGCACAAACTTTCATCAGGAATAACTTTTTGTCGATAAACCCTTATAAATAAATAAGTTTCTCATATGGTACATACTTTGGGGAACGGCACTGTATACCTATATAGTAATAATAAATTAATTTACCACTATTAATATGGAAGTGTCCAATCTCCATGTAGTCTTTTTCAACTAAAATTACTTTTTCAATCCTTTTCTGCCAGTCTTCTTCGGTAATATTAGATACTTCTTCTTCAACTAGCTCCATTACAATCTTATCAAATTTTGGAAAATTATCTCTACGCCTGATGTTTTGTTTCAATTTTCCCCAAATCAACTCGATGGGATTGAAAACACAAAAATAGGGGAGAAGTCTCTCAAGGGCATACACTTTTTCAAATGTTTTTGTCTGGAAAACTTCAAGTAGTTGGTTTCTGGTAATCTTTTGGTAATCTTCAAAATACAAATTGTTATCTATTAAAAAACTTTGTATTTTATCTTTCCTCGAATTATTATTCTATACTTTGTTGAGCTGTCGCGAATGACAGGAGGCGTTGTCAAGAACTATTACACTATACGCATCCAAATTTGGGATCAATGTGTTTTCAAACCATTCCTCAAAAATATTAGCTTCCATGTTCTTATGATAGTCAACATTGCAGTCCTCAAGTTTTTTTTGCAGACATGTTAGGCGTACACATTCTCGAACCATCAATCCACCCTTTCATAATTGTGTCGTGAATATCATACCAATTTTCGTCTTAATAGAAAATTTGGCACTGTCCTTGTCTATATTTGGTTATTTGTTCTGATTATTTGTTACGCAATTCCACTATTCTTCTGCTTTCCATAACTGCTTGACATCTGTTTATTATTTTCCTATTTTCTTTATCCAATTCTGAACAGTTTTGTCACAGCAGATCACGTTATGGCCGGAAGTATTCGATTTCTTCCTTATGATTTCAGTTATAGAAATCTCATTGCTTTTGTAACGGTCGTATATTTTTTTTTCAATGATTTTATAAACATCTAAAGGTTTTGGTAATCTCATATCACATCGCGTCTTGCGTTCATAAGGTTTGTTTTTGACTATTTTACGTACAGTTGAGAAAGGAATTTCGGTCAAATCTGATGTTGCTAGTAATAGTGTTTTTTCCTCGAAACCAAACTTGATATGTAGATTCTTATATACATTGAAACATACTCTCTGTGTTTCAATATTCAAATGCATCCAAATCTTCTTCACTGGTATCTCTTTTTCGCATTGTTCACCATCGCTATTGGAATCACTATACAGGAAAAAGTTTGCGTTATTATCACACACGTTATTGCTATCAGTACTTGTCCAAGGACGCCACATTTTAAACAGATAACAAAAATTTTAAGTAATTATAACTGCACCAATATCGAATTTCAACACTCAAATCGCGATCAGTTCCTGATTATTGACGACACAAAGGCGATACTTATTTCCACATTCTATTCGTCACCGTAACATGACTTCAAATTTAATTTTATGATTCTTCAGCCAATCATAAAACTCGGTTAGTAAAAGTTACCCAATACGAACCGCCAATTCTTCAGTCCACCTGAACCTGAACCTGAAGTTCGCAGCGGCATTATTTCTCTGTATTGGTTTTTTTGGCCTTTGAGATGCCGATAGCTTCAAGTATTCACAATAAAGGTTACTTCGACTGTACAGTGTGCCTACTCCTCTCTCGAATTTATCTAGGCAAGAAAACATTGAAAGTCCTCAATATTGTCCACATTTAATTATGCAGATTACTCTCTATGGGTCTAATCTCACTTTGCAATCTAGGAGAAAAATCCAAAAAGTTCATAATTGTTATCTG